CTGGATTGCAGGTGGTCCTCTCTGCCAGCTGAGGATATGGAGCTATTGGGCTGACCAGATAGTTCATTTGGATTTTTCCATAAGATGGCTCTAGTAGTGCTTGCTTGGCTTTAACTTCATTCGAAACAATCTTGCTAGATTGTACTGTGACAGCTGTCTTATCAGCATGAATTAAAAAATATTTATCAAAAGTGGTGAATTTTTGTGTAGCCATTTTAATATTGAAGTTGGAAGGGAAAAAACATTTTCCGCATATTATGCTTTATTATTTCAATAAAGAAAAGCACAACTAAAATGCACATAAAGGTTAGTTCAACATATAGAGGAAGCTACTGTTTAGTCACTAAATCATGTCTGACTCTTTTTGGCCCCATGGACTGCAGCATGCCAGACTACCCTGCCCTTCACCATCTCCTGGGGTTTGCTCAAATTCATGTCCACTGCGTCAGTGATGCCATCCAGCCATCTCATCCTCTGTTGCCCCCTTCTCCTCCTGCCCTCAATCTTTCCCAGAATCAGGGTCTTTTCCAATGAGTTAGCTCTTCATTTCAGGTGACCAAAATATTGGAGTTTCAGCTTCAGCATCAGTCCTTCCAATGAATATTCAGGACTGATTTTCTTTAGAATTTACTGGTTTGATTTCCTCGCTGTCCAAGGGACTCTCAAGTGTCTTCTCCAATACCACAATTGAAAAACATCAGTTCTTTGGTGCTCAGCTTTCTTTCTGGTCCAACTCTCACATCTATACATGGCTACTGGACTTTGACTATAGAGACCTTTGTTGGCAAAGTGATGTCTCTGCTTTTTAATATACTGTCTAGGTTTATCATAGCTTTCTTTCCAAGGAGCAAGCATCTCTTAATTTCATGGCTGCAGTCACTGTCTGCAGTGATTTTGGAGCCCAAGAAAATAAAATCTGTCTCTGTTCCCACTTTTTTTCCATCTATTTGTCATGAAGTGATGGGACCGGTTGCCATGATCTTAAGTTTTAGAATGTTGAGTTTTAAGCCAGCTTTTTACTCTCCTCTTTCACCCTCATCAAGAAGCTCTTTAGTTCCCCTTCACTTTTTGCCTTTAGAGTGGTATCATCCGTGTATCTGAGGTTGTTGATATTTCTCCTGGCAAGTTTGTGATTCACCCAGTCTGGCATTTAGCATGCTGTACTCTGAATAGAAGTTAAGTAAACAGGGTGACAAAATACAGCCTTGTCATGCTCCTTTCCCAATTTTGAACCAGTCTGTTGTTCCATGTCCAGTTCTAACTGTTGCTTCTTGACCCACAAATAGGTTTTTCAGGAGATAGATAAGGTGATCTGGTATTTCCAGCTGTGACCGATTGATTGAACATGTCAAAAGTTGTTTTTGAAGTTTCATGCTGGAGATTTTTTGCTGAACTATGCTCCATGATTGGGTATAACAGTTGAAGTTGATAGTGATAAAATCAAGGCATTAATTGAGAACAAATGTTATACCATGTGGAAGATAGCTGACATACTCCAAATATCCAAATTAAGCACTGAAAATCATTTGCACCAGCTTAGCTATGTTCATTGCTTTGATGTTTGGGTTCCACATAAGTTCAGCAAAAAAAAAAAAACCTTCTTGACTGTATTTCCAAGTGTGATTTTCTACTTAAACATTAAAAAAGAATCTGTTTTTAAAGCAAATTGTCATGGGCAATGAAAAGTGGATACTGTAAAATAATGTGGAATGGAAGAGATCATGGGGCAACTAAAATGAATCACCAACAACCACACCAAAGGCCTGACTTCATCCAAAGAAGGTGATGTTCTGTATGTGGTGGGATTGGAAGGGAGTCCTCTGTTAAAAGCTCCTTCTGGAAAATCAAATGATTAATTACAATGAACCCCAATTAGACCAACAGAAGGCAGAACTAGATGAAAAGCATTTGGAATTAGTCAACACAAAATGCATAATTTTTCCATCGGGATAACGTAAGACCTTGTGTTTCTTTGATGATCAAGCAAAAACTGTTACCGCTTGGCTGGAAAGTTCAGACACTGCAACTTCAGGTTTCCATTATTTTGGTCTTTACAAAATTCTCTTAATGGAAAAACTTTCAGTTCCTTGGAAGACTATAAAAGGCACCCGGAACAGTTCTTTGTTCAAAAAAAATAAATAGCTTTGGGAGGATGGGACTATGAAATTCCTTGGAAAAATGGCACAAAATAGTGGAACAAAATGGTGAACATGTTGTTCAATAAAATTCTTGGTGAAAATGACAAGTGTGTATTTTATTTTTACTTAAAAACTGGAGGAACACTTCGGCCAACCCAGTACTTTTTTGTTCGTGGGGTCTCAGAAAGTTGGACATGAATGAGAAACTGAACAACAACAATACTTTGTCCAGTGACCTGTGAACTAAAAACACAAGCTATTTGCTCCTGATGCAATGTATTGTGTTTTCAGGCGACAGGCTGCTTGCCATCCACACCCTCTTTCATGGAGGGGAAGATGGCAGACACCAGTGGGTATTGTTCTGTAGCAATCCTGCAGTCCTTCAGGCAGAGGTTGGAGGGACTCATCAAGTCCCTGCCCTTGAAGAGGCTCGATTCAGCAATCTGGAGAGTCTCCTTTGTCTCTTTGATGCTGGCTCCTGATTGCCCTTGTAAGGATGCTCCTTTTACGTTATTCCCCTTGGCCACCTTTGAAGTGGGTGTTATAGAGAGACATGATCTTCTAGGGGCCCTGCAGCCTTTGATGACTGCTTGCTGCACTGTAGGGTTTGGAGTTTGTTTTCATTTTGATCTGTCAGCAGCTTCTCTTTTTGTTTTTCCAGTCCACAATCATTCAGTCATGGTTTTTATGGTGATATAGTATAATTCTTTTGATAACTTAGTAGGCTGATACCTTCCCACTCAGTCAATTTCATATGCCAGTAACCACAGCCCATGTTTCTTTCTAGATAAACTTATTAAATGGTTTTCTGCTTTCCTCCCTCCATCTCTCTTTCTCTCTCTCTCTCCCTCCCTCTCTCCTTGATCTTAATGGGGCTTGAAATGGCAAGACTCCAGCTTCAATCTGATTTTTGCCCTAAGTCACTTCATCCAAGTAAGAATTTTTTTTTCTGATTTTTATTACTGAAATCCTTTTACTTTCCTCCCCTAAATTCCTTCTTTTAATGTTTGGGACTCGAAACAGATAGCTTTCCCAATAATCTCAGATCTAAGATTTGGGTACTTAATTATATTTCACTTAAAATCAGTCCATTCTTTCCTGAACGCATCCCTTTCTTGCAATACTTTAACAGGTGCAGACAAAAGCAACCAGTACATGACTAATGTATATTTTTCATACTCATTCTTTTTTTTTTTTCTTCTTTTTTTTTTTTCATACTCATTCTTAAAGCTACAACTTCAGCAGACAGGACCTCACAGTTTTGACTCTTTGTAACATGAACCTCCATCTTTTCAACACAAAATATTAGCTTCTTTACTGTTGAATATCTAATCAGTACCACACATTTTAGATTTCTAATGGCAAATCAGTGAGGTAGAGGGGAGAGGAGCGTCCTGCAGTTTTCAGGGTACTGATGGATGTTTCCAAGGGTCTACATTTAAAACCCATTTTATTGAAGTAATTAATGGAGTTAATTTCATGTTACATCAAACTACAATACCAACTCTTAAAAAGGGCATTACTTAAGAAAAATACGATTCAAATAATTGTACAAAGCTCACATTCCTTAGAATTATAATAAAATTATCTCAGGACACATCTTGGGAAGAATCAGTTTAGTTCAGTCTCTCAGTTGTGTCTGACTCTTTGCAAACCCATGAACTGCCTCATGCCAGGCTTCCCTGTCCATCATCAACTCCCAGAGCATGTATAAACTCATGTCCATTGAGTTGGTGATGCCATCAAACCATCTCATCTTCTGTCATCCCCTTCTCCTCCTGCCTTCAATCTTTCCCAGAATCAGTGTTTTTCTAATGAGTCAGCTTTTTGCATCAGGTGGCCAAAGTATTGGAGCTTCAGCTTTAGCATCAGTCCTTCCAATGATCATTCAGGATTGATTTCCTTTAGGATTGACTGGTTTGATCTCCTTGCAGTCTAAGAGACTCTCAGGAGTCTTTGACACAGCAGTACAAAAGCATCAATTCTTTGGTGTTCAGCTTTCTTTGTGGTCCAACTTTCATATCCATTCATGACTACTGGAAAAACCATAACTTTGACTAGACTAGACTATTCTTTGGGGAAGAATAGGAACTATTAATCATTTCTCAGATGCCAGCTTGGCTTCAGTGCAGGCATGAGTATCAAAGCTTTAGAGTTTGAGTTTTCTTGTCCTGGCATCCTGGACCCACTTTTGCTCGAGGTCAGCACAGGCCTCCTTGACCAGTTTGGCCTTGAAGCTGTGGGGGATAGGAGGGCACAGTTAGATGGAGAACCTTGAGTGTTCAGCCTGGGAGTGTCACTACCATATAGGAAACATGCCTGGTCTGATAGTCAAGGTGCTGGGGCTGCCCCAGCGATGGAAGAGGAAGAAGGGACCTCAGGATAAGCAGCTGCTTTTGTTGGCCCAAGGGAAGCCACCGTGTCTCCTGCATGAAGGACCTAAAAGCTGAACCAATGGCTGGACAGGATCTGGGAGGAGGAAGTCCATTTATTTTCCTGAATTCTGTTTTCCCATGGGAAAATTTCTAGGATTGGGTTCAGATCAGATCAGAAACTCAGTCATGTCCAGCTCTTTGTGACCCCATGGACTGTAGCCTGCCAGCCCCCTCTGTCCATGGGATTCTCTAGGCAAGAATACTGGAGTGGGTAGCCATCCCCTTCTCCAGGGGATCTTCTTGAGCCTGTGTCAAACCTGGGTCTCCTGCATTGCAGGCAGATTGTTTACTGTCTGAGCCACTAAGGAAGGATTGGGTTAGAGATGGTTTGAAGCATCTCCAACTCAGTCTGGTAAGAATCCTGTTCACTGCACAGGAGAAGAACTCAGGAACAAGGGCTGAGTATGGGTGGTCATGGTCCACTCACATCACAGCTTCCCAGCGACACTGGCTGCTGGTAATTCTTCGGTAGGTCTCCAGCTTCTGGATAGGGATCTTCTTATTGGTGAGTGTAGAGCAGTAGGCAGTTGAACAATTAATTCCTTTACAGTAAAACAACAAAAGAAAGGCAATTCAGGATGTGATCTTTCTGCTTATAAAGTATAGAAAATCATAGAAGGAGGAGTCAAAGAAAAGGGAAATTGCTCATCCTAAATCCAGTGACTCTGCCCTTGCAGATGTTCCTTAAACTCTTGGTTTCACTTGCATGGACTATAAAGTGGGAGAAAAACTGATGACAGCTCTGGGCTGACATGCTTGGAGGAGCAAATAGAGCACTGCAATTCTTTAGGGCCATGGGCTCTCAGCTTTGGGTCGCCTGTTAGACTCTAGCCAATCTCTGCTCCATCATGAGTTTTCTTGATACCTACTGCCTCTGCAGAACTGTGTCTCTGAAGTTCAGTTCTGGTCTCCTCCACTGCCCTCCAACATATCTGGAAATATTCTGCACAATGACTGCTAGAGGCCCCCTCTTTGATATTTTGGTCCCCAAACACCAGTGAAAGGAACCACAGTAGTAACTGCACTGAGATCATGTTTCCCAAGCTGGTGTATGAATGCAGAGTTCCAAAGAATAGCAAGGAGAGATAAGAAAGCCTTCCTCAGTGATCAATGCAAGGAAATAGAGGAAAACAATAGAATGGGAAAGACTAGAGATCTCTTCAAGAAAATTAGAGATACCAAGGGAACATTTCAGGCAAATATTCATGAGCACAATAAAGGACAGAAATGGTAGGGACCTAACAAAAGCAGAAGATATTAAGAAGAGGTGGCAAGAATACACAGAAGAACTATACAAAAAAGATATTCATGACCCAAATAACCATAATGGTGTGATCACTCACCTAGAGCCAGACATCCTGGAATGTGAAGTGAAGTGGGCCTTAGGAAGCATCACTATGAACAAAGTTAGTGGAGGTGATGGAATTCCAGTTGAGCTATTTCAAATCCTGAGAGATGATGCTGTGAAAGTGCTGCACTCAATATGCCAGCAAATTTGGAATACTCAGCAGTGGCCACAGGACTGGAAAAGTTTTCAGTTTTCATTCTAATCCCAAAGAAAGGCAATGCCAAAGAATGCTCAAACTACTACACAATTGCAGTCATCTCACACGGGCTAGTAAAGTAATGCTCAAAATTCTCCAAACCGGACTTCAACAGTACATGAACCATGAACTTCCAGATGTTAAAACTGGATTTAGAAAAGGCAGAGGAACCAGAGATCAAAATTGCCAGTATCTGCTGGATTATAGAAAAAGCCAGAGAGTTCCATAAAAACATCTATTTCTGCTTTATTGACTATACCAAAGCCTTTGACTGTGTGGATCACCACAAATTGTGGAAAATTCTTCAAGAGATGGGAGTACCAGACCACCTGATCTGCATCTTGAGACATCTGCATGCAGGTCAGGAAGCAACAGTCAGAACTGGACATGGAACAACATACTGGTTCTAAATCGGGAAAGAAGTAAGTCAAGGCTATATATTGTTACCCTGCTTATTTAAATTACTTGCAGAGTACAGCATGTGAAATGCCAGGCTGGATGAAGCACAAGCTGAAATCAAGATTGCTGGGAGAAATATCAATAATCTCAGACATGCAGATGACACCACCCTTATGGCAGAAAGTGAAGAAGAACTAAAGAGCCTCTTGATGAAAGTAAAAGAGGAGAGTGCAAAAGTTGGCTTAAAACTCAACATTCAGAAAACTAAGATCATGGCTTCTGGTCCAATCACTTTATGGCAAATATATGGGGAAATGATGGAAACAGTGAGAGGCTTCATTTTGGGAGGCTTCAAAATCACTGCAGATGGTGACTGCAGTCATGAAGTGAAAAGACACTTGCTCCTTGGAAGAAAAGTTATGACCAAACAAAACAGCATATTAAAAAGCAGAGACATTACTTTGCCAACAAAGATCTGTCTAGTCAAACCTATGGTTTTTCCAGTAGTCATGTATGGATGTGAGACTTGGACTAAAAAGAAAGCTGAGCACTGAAAAATTAATGCTTTTGCACTGTGGTGTTGGAGAGGACTCTTGAGAGTTCCTTGGACAGCAAGGAAATCAAACCAGTCCATCCTAAAGGAAATCAGTCCTGAATATTCATTGGAAGGACTGATGCTGAAGCTGAAACTCCAATACTTTGGCCATCTGGTGCGAAGAACTGACTCATTTGAAAAGACTCTGATGTTGGGAAAGATTGAAGGCAGGAAGAGAAGTGGATGGCAGAGGATGAGATAGTTGGATGGCATCCCAGACTCAATGGACATGGGTTTGAGTAAACTCCGGGAGTTGTTGATGGAAAGGGAGGCCTGGCGTGCTGTGGTCCATGGGGTTGCAAAGAGTCGGACATGGCTGAGCGACTGAACTGAATTGAACTGTATTGGGAGGAGCTGGATTTTATGTCCACAGCTGGAATTCTCACCCAGGCTCTGCCTAGGAGCAACTGTGCAATCAGGCTTACTCCTTACCCATCTCAGACTTTTCCTGATCTTGTAAAAGCAGTTGTTAAAGTGAGAGTGTGAGTTCCCCTCTGCTCCGATGGTTCACCACGACCCAGAGTGGGGTGATGTGCTTCAGAGGGAAGAAGAGGGCTGTTTGCCGGGCTGAGCAAGCACCTGGGTGCTGAAGGCAGCTGACACAGAAGGGCTCTGCTGGAGGGTGAAGACTTGAGCTTTCCCATGGCAGTTGCTGGTTTCTGAGTTGGTCCCAGCCTCTCTGTTCCTCTAGTGGCTCTGCATGTCATCTATAGAGAACAGATAGGAATAAGGAATGGGTGGGTGAGAGGCCCTTATTTTGGGGAATGAATCCCAAGATGGAGTGACAAATCTGCCGAGCCATCACCCTGTCCTGAGGAGGATGTTAAGAAATGAAAGAGAAAAGTGTGACTTGACACTGGCCTATTTTTATTCTCTGGTCAGGAGTGCTAGGGAAGGTGGGAGCTACAGCCAGTCAGACCACAAGATGTGACCTCTGGCTGAAATTAAACCTTCTGCTTTTTGGAAATAAAACACTTTCTGTAGAAAAAGGAAGGAAATGGGGTACCAAGGTCAAGGAGATGCAAGGAATTTCCCCATTTTCCTTTTAGGCTCCCGGATGCAAGGGAAGTGAACATACGCCACATATCTAAATGCAAGGAGTGTAAAATAAGTTGCAAGCATGTATTAAGATGACTGTTTCAGCTATTAACCTTACACTGCTGAGTGTGATGTTCGCTCTGGGCATGTCATCAATGGCCTTTATTATGTTGAGGTATATTCCTTTAATATCCCATTTGTTGAGAGTTTTTATCATGAAAGGATTTTGTATTTCATCAAATGCTTTTTCTACATCTATTGAGAGAATTGTATGATTTTTATCTTTCATTCTATTAATGTTGTGCATCATATTTATTGATTTGTGTATGTTGAATCACCCTTACATGGTTAAATCCCACTCGATCGTGGTATAAAATCCTTTTAATGTGCTCTTGAATTCAGCTTGGGATATTTTATTGAGAATTTTTGCATCTGTATTTATCAGGAACATGGGCTTGTAGTCTTTTTTTCTTGTAATATTTTTATCCAGCTTTGACATCAAAGTAATGCTGGCCTCATATAATTAGTTTTAGCATGTTTCCTCCTTTTGGGTTTTTTGGAAGAGTTTATGTAACATTGGCATGAATTTTTCCTTAAATGTTTGATAAAAAGCATCAGGGGAACCTTCTCGTCCTGGACCTTTCTTTGTTAGGAGATTTGGTTGCTGACTCAATCTCCTTACTTATTATTGGTCTGCTCAGATTTTCTGTTTCTTCCTAATTTGTGTTTTTGTAGGTTGCATGTTTCTAGGAATTTACCTGTTACTTTATGTTGTCTAATTTGTTGGTGTAAATTGTTCATGTAGTCCCATGTAATCTTTTGCATTTCTGTAGTATTTATTGTAATGTTTTCTTTTTAATTTCTGATTTTATTTATTTGAGTCTTTTTTCCCTCTTTATCTTAGTTAGTGTAGCAAACTGTTAAGTTTTGATTATCTTAAAAAAAAACAGCTCTTAGCTTTGTTGATCTTTTCTGTTGTTTTTCTGGACTCAATTTAATTTATTTCTGTTCTGATCTTTGTTATTTCCTTCCTGCTGCTAGTTTTGGGCCGAGTTTGTTCCTCTTTTTTCTAGTTTCTTAAAGTGTACAGTTAGATTGTTTATTTGAGGTCCTTTTTTTTCTGGTGAAGATATTAATCACTATAAATAAACCTCCCTCTTAGAATATTTTGCTGTGTCTTATACATTTTAGTTTCCATTTTCACTTGTTTCAAGATATCTTTTGATTTTCCTTTTGATTCTTCATTTACCCATTGTTTAGGAGGGTTTGTTTGATTTTCGTATTTGTGAATTTTCCACTTTTTCTTCTGTTATTTATTTATGGCTTTATACTATTGTGTTCAGAAAAGACACTTGCCATGATTTCAGTTTTCTTACATTTATTGAGACTTATTTTGTTATCTATCATATATCTATCTTGGAAGATGTTTTGTGTATGATTGAGAAGAATGTATATTCTGCTTCTGTTGAGTGAAATGTGCTGTTTGCCTGTCAGGTGTATTTCATCTAAAGTATAGCTCAAGTCTAAAATTTTCATATTGATCTTCTGTGTGGATAACCTATCTATTGTTGAAAATGATGTATTTAAGTACCCTACTATTATTGTATTGTTGTCTATTTTTCCTTTTAGATCTAATAGTATTTGCTTAATATGAATATTTAGTTGTTTCAATGTTAGGTGCACATGTACTTATAATTGTTATGCTCCCTTGATGAATTGACACCTGTGTCATCATACAGTGATCTTCTTTGTCTCTTTCAGTTTGGGGCTGAATGTCTATTTTGTCTTTACCCCTAGTGCCACCTGGGAGCGTATATATACACTCAGAAGTATAGCTACTTTTGTTAGCTACTTATGTTCTTTTGGTTTCCACTTGCATGAAATATCTGTTTCCATCCCTTCACTTAGAGCCTGTATGTGTCCTTAAAACTGAAGTGAATTACTTGTAGGAAGCATATAGTCAGGT